AAGAAACAAAAGGTCCAGAAATAAAAGTGGCAATCAAACCAGACGAGGCCAAGAATTCACAAGTAGCATCCAGTTCAAACCTTCCTAAACCGGGTTTACTATCGGATTTAAAACCACACCATCATGTCTGACACAGTTCCTTCTCAACCACACAGAATACTTTGCAACAGTTAAGAACAGGGATAAAACATCAGAATATGGAAGGCCACGACTAAAACCACATAAAAACAGTTGCTGCCATACTCTTACATTAAAAGCGCTCCCGATCCCTGCCATCCCAGACATCGAAAAGACTACCACAGTCACCCAGCCATTAAAATCAAGTAAGAGAGAACAATTAATAAACAAATGGTACGGTGGGTACGGCCACGACGCCGCCATGCCCATAGTAGGGATGCAACGGTACTCGGTAAAATACCGGACCGTTAGATCCGCGCTGCACGGTCCGGTACGCCCTTGTGTACCGCGGTATTCCGTTTTTGCACTTCCTTTTGAAAATGGCGATTAATGCTTATCAGGCTCCAGTTAAACAGTAAGCGCCAATGAGCGAAAGCCCTCCACCGTGAGTTAATGTCCAATCACTGTTGTGGCTCCACCCACTCGCCCTCTCACACTGACGTAACTGGAGCTGAGCTCGCAGCTCGGTACGCAGACGCAGAAAAAAAGAAAAACAAACCATTCACATTTCAGTGACGTTATAATTCCCGACCTCAATGACAAAGCCCGCAAAGCCATCGAAAACGATTTGGCTCAAGCACAGAGCCTCGAGTGGAATATACAGTGTTTAGAGCAATTTAACATTTTTTAAAGTGTTTTTGTTTACATTTTGTAAGTTTGAATTTTATATATGTATACATATTTCTGAAAGTATGTTTACTCTGACTACTGTGTTGTGTTTAGAGCACTTTAACATTTTTTTAAAGTGTTTTTGTTTACATTTTGTAAGTTTGAATTTTATACATGTATACATATTTTATACATAAATAAGAGTTAATTATTTGTTTTATTATTATTTGTAGCGTTGTGTTTAAACCAAACCGAAACCGTGGCCCAAATACCGAGGTACGTACCGTACCGTGGGATACCTGTACCGTCGCACCCCTAGTAGATACAGTAAGATATTCTGACAGACCTCAATAATTAAATAAACATAGTTGTTGTTGTTTTAGTTCTCTTCTACATTTTATATTGTGTGGGATTCAATAGAATTATAAAGAACATACAATGAATAGAGGAAAAGCAGAATATAGCTTAAAGCAGGGCATGATGAAAGG